GCAAACTAATGAGACCCAACTGTCCCAGTCAACATGTGCTACATTGTTTAGCACATCCTTTGTACTGCTCAATACTATGTGCCATTTTACAAACACTGAACCGTAACACGTAACACATTTAAGGAAACCCAATAAAGAGTAACAAGAAGAGAAAATTAACATGGATTGGCTGAACAGAAGGAACCTTTCAGAGGTCAAACATTCCAGACCCAAAAGTATTAGTTAACTTATGGATTAACTGAAGGAGCACTAAAGGTTTTAAAAGTGCAACAGCAGTCCTTGTGGATACAAGGCCAGGTTGAACCTTGATAATGTTTCAGCAGAACAGCTTCAACGGCGTGGCTTGCAGGACTTGCACTGCATTGATTTAATCTGGAAAACAAAGATGACAATTTGCTAGGGATTAGTGAAGTAAAAATGTTAAAAATATTATCAATTTAATGACAATATAAAGAATAGATTGGACATTAAGGGTAACAAGAGTGGACATGTAATATGTAATATCATTTAAAATTAGCATATATTATTTAAGGGCACTACTTAACCAACCAACACCTATAACAGTCCAGCTTAAGAAAAACAACAGTCATTAAAACATAGCAGTCAATAAACCAGTGACACATACAGGTGAATTGGTCTTTAACCCTATACCAACCACACGATGAAATGCCTATCCTGTTTTGTGGGACTTGCACAGACAAGCTATAGCTTGTGTTATTGCTTTGGCAAACTTTTAAATACCTGCTAAAATTTGTTTAAATGCAGCAATTATCAGTCTTTGCACCAAGCTGTTTTTTTCCTTATACAGGAGATGTTGACATTGGGATGATGATGATTTTAGGTGCGCTGACAAATTAGGTTGGTTACATTTTGCATATCTTTGTGAAACAACCTCAACACACAGCTTTGGATTTGTCCCATTGTCTTTCCCCATCTTAAATTGTAAAAAAAAAGCTCTATATTTTCTTCCAAACAAAGGAGATGGGAAGGTCTTTAGCTCTGGTTTGTTTCTATGCCATGAATGTACCGTTTATCACACTCACTACTCATGTTGCAAGACACAGTTAATAGCTGTTGTGCCATATGCCATGGTCATAATTTTTGGACATTGGGAACCAGAATCCATATTTCATCTTGTCATGATGATGTGGAATCAGCTGAGGAATCTCTGCAACCCCCCACTTTTCAGCCAAGTCCTACAAAGGCCAGTCACATGGCCACCCACAGAGGTGTGACTTCCCACTCCCCTCTGTGTGAGGACAGAACAAAACCACAGAGAAAACCAGATTCTCTCTCTTTGTCTCCTGCGTTCTTTGCCTCCTCTCCCTCGCCCATGAAGCTTGGCTTCGGCCCAGACTGTGGTGGAGAACCAAGGCTCAAAGGGACACAAATCTCCAGAATCACCAAGGATGGGTCATTGTGGGAACCTTTCAGAACCAAACTACTGTAGGACAGACCTTTTGCAACATATTTCTCTGGAGTTTCAGAACTTATAGAGCCAGACAGGAGAGAAGACCTACCCTGTCTTGATGAATGACTGAGACAAAGAGGAACCCTGCTGTGCCCTGACTGCTGCAGCTGGATGAAACTCAAGTTTTCCAACCGGACACGGAAAAAAGGTTTTCAGATCTGGCATTATTAGGGACAGAACAAACAACATGTGTTTACTGATGAATAAAGACAGCGCTAACAGAATGGACTGCATGCTACGCTATGCTACAGGAATATGTGTTGAGCTGTTGCTGAAGTTTGGAC